AAAAAAAAAAAAAAAAAGGAGCTATATATATTATGAGGTACTACATGGATGTAAGGATTTGTTATATCTGAGTTGCAATTTTTCAATCATTTCTCTGATGATGAAGGCATTGATTTCTATTAGCTCTAATATAGAAGTAGTATCATTAAAGGGGAGTGTGTTTCCATTTGGGAATTACCAAATTTAGGTAAGTCATTGGGAATGACCTGTTTGGGGAAAGGAATAGAAGATGATTGGTGTAGTCAGTTCCCAAGAACTTCCACGTAAATCACCTCATTTTGCATTTGCAGCCATTTTGAGCTGGCAGGGCAACTCACCCTTGTTTTGCAGATGATAGAATGAGGAAAGGCCATGGGGTGTTAACCAGCTCACTCAAGGTCAAACCCAAAAGTCAGAATTGCTACACAAAGTGGCCTTTGCTGTGGCTGAGGTGCGGTTCAAGTTTCTCCTTGTTCCCCGTGTGGTGTTGTGTACCCTGGCACCTTTACTTCCCCTTTTTTTTTTTTTTCTTTTTGTTACTAGGGATTGAACTCAGGGGCCCTTAACCACTGGGCCACACCCCCAGCCTTTTTTATATTTTATTTAGAGACAGGGTCTTTCTGAGTTACTTAGGGTTTCACTAAATTGCTGAGGCTGGCTTTGAACTCGAGATCCTCCTGCCTTAGCCTCCTGAGCTTCTGGAATTACAGGCATGCGCCACTGCGCCCTGCTGTTTCCTTTAGATACTGTGGTGGTTAAAGGGTGAATTAAGGAGGAAAACTAGTAAGCCCTCCTTGTAAGTCATGACTATTTTTTTAATGGGCACTTCTTATTCTCGTCACAGCTTTGAAGAGACTGAGGGACTCTGCCAATGCCAACGATGTGGAAACAGGTGAGTGTGTGCTGTGGGTCCAGCTCCAGGGACCTGTGGGCTGCTGGGGAGGGGAAGGGCCAGGAATCAAAACGCGCCAGTTGGCCTGTTATTCGTTCTCTGGCTTTGTAGTCATTTTGAAGAAAGTAAGACAGCTTAAGTACTCACTCCCTTTGCCCCTTGTCACCTGGAACCGCCTGATCATGGCATCTTATCACCCTGTGGGTCCTCTGTTGCTGGGGACCACGTCTGCTTTTGCACCCAGCACAACTCCTAGCCAGAGCAGGTACTGTTTTGAACTTCAGGCTAATAGGAGTGAACTTACCTGCCAGGTGCCATCTGCCACCTCCAGCTGCTCCATGAGACTGGACCTCAGATCAACTTGTGTGGTTGACAAGGCATGGGCAGGGCCCTCACAGGACTCAGGGGACTGCTCTCCTGTGTTCACTAGGCGGTGGTGGCAGCAGCAGCAGCATGGAAAGCATTTAGACAGCTTCTAGGACAGAAGTTGTTAACTGTGTGCACTGGCTTAATTCTCCCTATGAGACAGGGGAAAGTGGTGCATTAGTTTTCTATCTGCTTTAACAGAGTACCCAAATTTAGTGGCTTAAGCCACATGAATGTATTTTCATGTAACTCCGTAGGTCAGCAGTCCAACCCAGGTCTCACTGACCAGGCTAAAATCTAGTGCCAGCTGGGCTGCATCTCTTTCCAGAGGTTCTGGGGAAAATGTATTTCCCTGCCTTTTCCAGCTCCTGGGGGCCCCTACGGTCCTTGCTTTGAAGACTCTTCTACTGTCTCCAACTCCAGCTAGGAAGAGTCCTTCTAACCCTCCAGGTTCTCTGATGCTTGAAGCAGGGAAAGATTCTGATTTTAAGGACTCACAGGTGATTAGATTAGACCTGGATAATCCAAGATAATCCCTGCACCTCAAGGTCCTCAGCCTTGGTCAAATATGCAAAGTCCTTTTGCACACCTAACATCTACAAATTCTAGGGATTAGAATGGGGCATCTTGGGGGACCATTATTCTGCACATCATTCTGCTTTGGTGGTAAGATGCTGTGGTCAGCAGCTCAACTGTGAGCACCGATGACGAACTGTGGGTCACAGGCGCCCACTCGCAGCAGGTGTGAGGGCAGGTGTTGCCCTACGGGCTTCAGACGCTCCCCCTGCTTCTGGAACGGCCGTGGTCAGCAGGTCTAGCAGCTGGAGGGGTTTCAACTCTTCACTTTGGTCTTTTTTCCATGAACTTTAATATTTTAGAATATTCAAGCATCAACCTAAGATAGTTCCTCAATGAAAAACAGTAACCATTGTGTTTTTTAATATCTCCAGTGTATGACCAGAGAATGTTTAATAACACCTCCCACAGAAAGTTCAGTCCATCTTAAATCAGGTGGTTTTAGTACTTTGAAAGAAATTCTGTAATTTTCCATTCAGAGCCTGTTAGATTTACCTGAAGGACTCAATGGTGTTTTTCACCATTGCTTTTTTTTTTGGTACCAGGGATTAAACCCAGGGGCACTCAACCACTGAGCCACAACCTCAGCCCCTACCCTTCTTTTTAGTTGTAGACAGACACAATACCACAATACCTTTATTTTATTTATTTATTTTTATGTGGTGCTGAGGATTGAACCCAGCGCCTCACACGTGCTAAGCAAACGCTTCACCACTAAGCTACAATCCCAGCCCTTTTTTTTTTTTTAATATCGTATTTAGAGACAGGGTCTTGCTAAGTTGCTTAGGGCCTTGCTAAATTGCTGAGACTGGATTTGAACTTGTGATCCTCCTGCCTCAGCCTCTGGGCTGGGATTACCGTTTGCACCACCGAGCCTGGCTTCACCGTCATTTTCATGGCATTCATGGTGAGCATTTTCTGTTCGTTCTGAACATGTTGGGTTTTATAAAATTTAACAATTATAATGAACATACAGTTTATATCCTGTGGTTATTGTCAAGTCATAAATGATTTTCTATGAGTTCCTAATCACTTAAAGTATGTTGAGGATGAAAATAACAGCTGCACTTAAAATGTTTCGGAAGTTATAAAAGCATACAAGAAAAATATCCATACTGTTAGCAATGGATCTGATTGCTGTTCACTTTTTTTATAATTTTTCTTTTTTTATATATTTTGTTAGTTGTAGATGGACACACAATATATTTATTTTTATGTGGTGCTGAGGATCAAACCCAGTGCCTCACACACATGCAAGGCAGATGCTTTACACTAAGCTACAGCCCCAGCCCTGCTGTTCCTTTTTTTTTAATATCTTTAATTTGCTTATTTATTTTTATGTGGCGCTGAGGATGTAACCCAGGGTCTCACATGTGCGAGGTGAGTGCTCTACTGCAGAGCCACAATCCCAGCAGTGCGCTTGCATGCACACACACACACACACCCTGTTCATTTTTTATGGTGGCCAGGATTGTGGCTCAGGTAGAGCGCTTGCCTAGCACATGTGAGGCACTGGGTTCAATCCTCAGCACAGCATAAAAATAAATAATAAAATACAGGTATTGTGTCCAACTACAACTGAAAAAATAAATAATAAATAAAAATATTTTGTTGGTATCTGTCCAGTTCCTTTTCCTGTGCATAGAAATTTTCTTTTGGGGGGCTGGGGATGTGACTCAAGTGGTAGCATGCCCGCCTGGTATGCGCAAGGCACTTGGTGTTGATCCTCAACACCACATAAAAATAAAATAAAGATATTGTGTCCACCTAAAACTAAAAAAAAAAAATTTTTCTTTACAGGTTTAAAACGGCTATGTACACTTTTTTGTAGCCCATATAATATTTTGTGTATTATAAACATGGTCTATGTAACCATTTGTTTCATCAAAATGCAAATATCTCACCAGGTATAGTCGCACACACCTGTAATCCCAGTACTTAGGAGGCTGAGGCAAGAGGACTGCAAGTTCAGGGCCAGCCTCAGATATTTTAGCAAGGCCCTAAGCACTGTCTGGAGGGACCCCAGCGCTGCTGTCCCCCCCCTGGGAACTGAAGCTCAGCTAACACTGCTGCTGTCCCCTTCCTCCCCACCCTGGTGGTGTCAGTGCAGCAGCTGCTGGAAGATGGCACGGATCCCTGTGCAGCTGACGACAAGGGCCGCACGGCTCTCCACTTTGCCTCCTGTAATGGCAATGACCAGATTGGTGAGTCCTGGGAGGGCCTGGGACTGGGCGGTGGGGGAAGCTGCCGCCTGCACAGCGGGGCCACAGGGGGAACCCGACAGGAAGGAACCTGGCACCACAGTCCCCTGCCCCTTCACCTTTGGAACCAGCACTGCCAGATGGGAAGGACCATGAGTGACTCCGAGGGAGGAGTCCACGGGTGGGGACAGAGCCCTGACAACTGGCAGCTTTCCTTGGAGGCAGCAGGATGGCTGTTTGTGGTTTTAAATGTGGCGCAGCTTCAAACAATGAACCGCGCCTGTCCACCCCCGTCCAGTCATCAGCTGTCTCAGCTCCTGGCAGCCCCACACCCTGTCTAGATCCCACCAGGCTCTCACCCTGTCTAGACCCCTTCCCTGCCGACTGGGCTGGGCTGCTTTTGAATTTCACATGAACAGAAGCACACAGCCGGCCCTCCTCTGGACACACCCTCAATGAAAGTTACATGGGGGTTGATCCAGGCACAAATGTTGTGCAGGTCAGTAACTTGTCCTTTCTTGTTCTGGTTACTACCTGGCTGTGTGCTCTTCCCCAGTTCACCCGTTCTGTTGATGGACATGTGCATGGTTCCAGGTCTGGGCTATTGAGAATAAAGCTGCATTCTCGGACTTGCATTCAGTGGCTGGAGCGCTTGACTCTGCAGGGTGCAAGCCCTGGAGAGGGAGTGGAAGCACCAGGGTGGACATACCAAACTTTTCCCTAAAGTGGACGTCCCAGCCCCCCTCCCCCTCCTGCCAGCAGTGTCCCACATTGTCCCCCTCCCTCCGCATGCTTACTGCCAGTTCTTTTTATATGTTAACAGCTCACAGTGGTTTAGTTTGCATTTCCCTGCTGACCAGTGATGTCAAGCACCTCTTTATGTATTTACTGGCCATTTGTAGGTCCCCTCATGTGAAGCATCTGTTCAAGTATTTTTGTCTATTTTCTAAATAAGTTTTAGACATTTTTATATGAAATTTTATTCTCAGCATTTTAAAAAATGATATAATTTTATTTTTAAAATTTTAGGCATTTTTTTCTATATTCTAGGTATGTATCCACTATTAGTGCCCTTCTCTCTGAGTTTATCTTTCCCTTCCATGGGTGGTATCTTTTTTGGGGGGATGGGTAGATATTAGGATTGAACCCAGGTGCTTTATCACTAAGTTACATCCCTAGCACTTTTAACTGTTTATTTTGAGACAGGGTCTCCCTAAGTTGGAGAGACTAGCCTTGAACTTGTGATCCTCCTGCCTCAGCCTCCCAAGTTTCTAGGAACACATGCATCCACATAGCACATACCACTACCTACAGAGCTATATCCCCAGCCATGAGTGGTGTCTTTTAATGAACACAAGTTCTTAATTTTAATGAATCTAATTGATCAGTCTTTTATTTTTTTATGTTTAGTATTTTTGTGATTTTTACAAAATTTTAGCCTATCCCAGGGTCATGAAGATATTCTCTGGTTTTCTTCTAGAAGCCGGGCTATTCCACCTCTCACAGTTAGGTCTGTGGTACCTCTGGAATTAGTTTTTGTGTATGGTGTGAGGCTCAGTCCAGTGCTCCCACACAATGTCCTGGACCCAGTTGACCTTCCTGGGTATCCAGTAGGGTAACTGGCAAACCCTGGCAATACCACAGGCACCCCTGAGGTGACCCGAGACGTCAGGAGGGGATGTCATTCACTGAGCTCAGCATCCTCAGTTGGCCTATTTCTCACTGTGGCACTTGGTTAAGGGAGGAGAAGAAAATGACGTGGGCAGCCTTCTCTAGTAACTTCCTGACCCCTAAAAATAGCCCCCTCGCACCTGTGTGTGCTAAGGAGCCCTCCTGGGATCTTGAGTTCCCGGATCTGAGGGTCCTGCACGTGAACCCCATTGAGGGGTGATGAAATGAATGAATGAAACAACATAGGGAACCGGGTTTGCAAATTCAGCATCCCACACTGAGCGAGCCTCAGCCAGCCGAGGGGACTGGTCCAGGGCGGGGAAGCCGCTGACAGCTCCCTGGGTTTTCCTGTTTCTAGTGCAGCTGCTCCTGGACCACGGGGCCGACCCCAACCAGCGAGACGGGCTGGGAAACACGCCGCTGCACCTGGGTAAGTCCTCAAGTGTCTTCAAGACACCTGTATTAAGATACATCCTACTGTCACGTGTAACCAAGAAGAAGAACAATAAAACCCTGTGTAGCACCGACAGGCTCCTGAGATAGAGGGTCTGGGGTCCTGCTGGCTCCCAGCATCAGGGGACAACCTGAGCGTCCAGGCCCCACTTCCCAGCAGCCTGTCTTCCGTAGACCATCCAGTCCCTCTGCAGTTGGCGGTGCCCTTGGCAGAGCCCATGTAGCAGCCTTGACCTGCCAGCAGCACCTGTGGGAGTGTCGGGAGGCCTTGGCCTCACTCTGGCCTTGCTGCTGACAGGTGGCTTGTGAGGCCTCAGTTTCCCCAGCTGCACAGGGAGGGAGGTGGGCCGCGTTGCCGAATGCTGCCCATCGGCTGCCCTGGGGACACCTCGTGGGAGCTACAGCTTGGCACAGGCTCACTTGGAGCCACAGCCCTGACCCCTGCACCCAGTGCTCCCACTCTGACGTCTCTGTTCCTCCTTAGCGGCCTGTACCAACCATGTCCCTGTCATCACCACACTGCTACGAGGAGGTATGTGGTCCCCCCTCCTGCCCCTCCTCCCTCCCCCCCACCCCCAGTGTGCTCACCTCTGCCTCTCCCCCCAGGAGCCCGTGTGGATGCCCTGGACCGGGCTGGCCGCACGCCCCTGCACCTGGCCAAGTCGAAGCTGAACATCCTGCAGGAGGGCCATTCCCAGTGCCTGGAGGCCGTGCGGCTGGAGGTGAAGCAGGTGAGCCTGGCCTCCTGTGCCAAGTCCAAGGCCTGCGCAAGCTCTGGGCAAGGCCTTGCTCACCACAGACACCCTGCCTCTGGCCTCTGGGCCCCTGGATCATCTCGAGTTAGCCCCAGGTGGCTCAGCCAGCCCCCCTCTTCCAGATCATCCACATGCTGAGGGAGTACCTGGAACGCCTGGGGCGGCACGAACAGCGGGAGCGGCTGGACGACCTCTGCACCCGCCTCCAGATGACGAGCACCAAAGAGCAGGTGAGCACCTTAGGGGTCCAGCCAGGTGTGGCAGCCTTGACGCCACTCCAGCCCTGCTCCAAGGCCGCCAGACCCTCGTATCAGAGAGAGGCTGTGCCTGTGGTCACAGCCTGCCATGCCCTTCCCAGCCTCGTCCCCTTCCTTTGAAGGTGCAATGGCTGGGATGTGTTCCCCAGCTGTGCTCTTGGTGGCAGCCTGAGGCCACCTAGTGTCAAGGATCAAGCCCTTGGTAAATTGTTCCATAGTCAAGAGAAGCCTTCAGGTGCCCTGGAAGGAAAGGCAGTGCCCGGGGCGGAGCCTGTGGTACGGGGAGGCCAGGGAGCCTGGCGCCTGGACCAGAGCCTGGGTCTCCTCCTACAGGTGGATGAAGTGACCGACCTCCTGGCCAGCTTCACCTCCCTCAGTTTGCAGATGCAGAACATGGAGAGGAGGTAGCGAGGGAGGCCCCCGCTTCCTGCTCTGCCACTGTCCCCCGCCCCTCTGATTTCTCATTACAAAGAAAAGCCCGGTTTCTGGGACTTTGAGCTACACTTCTCTGGTGAGGACCTTGACCTCGCCCTCAGGGGCCAGGGGCAGAGATGTTCTCCCCACAACCTCAGAACTGCTCCCAACCACAGTCTCTGTCCCATCTCTGCGGGCCAGGACCACAGTCCCTAGCTGCTGCTCCAGCTCCCACGGCACCGGCCAGCTCTGCAGCCACACGCACACGCTGGCCCTTCATGCTGTCCTGGTGGGCCTCACGCATCCCAGGGCCTCCCGGGTCCCTGTCCGCCCCGAGGCCGAGCCTTCTCTATGCACCTTCCCAGCCTCGGGCTTGTTGCTGTCAGCTGACTTGGGGCAGGCACCCTCAGGCACCCCCGGCCAGCAGGCTCCATGGGGGCCCTTGTCTGTCCCTGTACCTTTTTCTGGTGCTTAGTTTAGGCTCATCCTGACTTACAAGGAGACAGTGCAGGGAGTTTTCTGGTTGGAACAGAGGGTTGGTGACATCCAACAAGGTTAGGAAGGACCCTGCTGAACCCAGAGCAAAAAATCTCCACTCCTTGCCCTCTCGGTCACTGAAACACCAGGAAGGTAAGACGGCTCTGCAGCCTGGTTGTCCTAAGCTGATGGTAGCCCAAGGGGCCCAGGCCTCAGGTCAGGAGCCTGCGGACAGGTTTCGTGGGTGCAATGGAATCCAGGGTCTTTACCGAAAGCAGTGATCCCAGACCACCCAGGTGGGCCGGGTACCATCACAGAGATCCTTATAAGAGGGAAGCAGAAGGTGAGAGCAAGTGGGTGTGCTGACGGAAGCAGGACGTTGAAGAGGGAAGGAGTCGAGAAGGAGTCACAAGCCAAGGAATGCAGGCCACCTCCAGAAGCCATGGACTCTTCCCCCAGACTTCCAGAAGGATGGCGCTGCTGACACCTGGACTTTAATTCAGTGAGACTGACTTTAGATTCCAGCCTCCAGAACTATAAAAGAATAAATTTGCATTCTTTGCTCAGTGTGTGTGACTTGCTGCGGGGTCCCGGCACACCAGTGCTGTAGGCTGTAGCCGAGGCTCGGCCAACCCCAGAGGCCTTCATCCTCCAGGCCCCACCCCACTGTGGACAGGCGAGGCAGGGATCTGCTGTAAGAAACCAAAGACCCCTTGGCCTGCCCCCTCCAAGGAGGCATTTGGCCACAACTTCAGGTGATCAGGCCGCAGCTCGTCTGGCCTGCCCACTTGCCCTCTTGCCAGATTAGAAGCCCTGACGACTTTCAGAGGCCCCAGCTTGGTGTGCTTCAGGTCTGAATTGAACTCTGGGACTCAGCTGCTCCTCAGACCCTGGAGGAAAGGGGGTGTGAGGTACTGGCCAAGCCCAGAGTTGCCCCCAGCAAGCTGTGGGAGGAGAAGCCAAAGCCCATGTTGGCAAGGCCAGGGAGTCGGGGTGCTGTGGTCCCCAGGAGGGGAGGCGGGGGGGGGGGAGGGGGAACACTAGGTTTCCATGGATCTCAGGCTGCTGCAAGCACAGTGCAAAGCCGGGGGTCAAGTCGTGGTGGGAGTGGCCTTTCTCCCTTCTACATTCAGGTGACACTCTGCAGTGAGCTTGCCTTTTTCCAGGGGTCCCCTTGGACCTTGGCCATGGCTCAGGGTGGGCAGGGCAAGAGGGAGTGGACCTCGATCAGTGAGGCCCTTTCTTGGTCCCAGCTTCTCTAGGCCTCCTCCCCCCAGGCTGACCATTCCATAGAGTTGAAGCACAAAGGCCGCTGAACTTCAGGTGCAGGGGGTTCAGTTAGGGGGCCCTTAGGAAGGCCTGAGCCCTCCTGTAGGCTGCGCAGACAGGCCTGAGACCAGTGACACCACCTTGTACCTGCAGAGTCGCTCGTGCTAGGACCTCGAGACTGCCCCAGGAGACTGGGCACGTTCCGGGGACAGCCTGACACCGGGAGTGACTGACTGACCCCTCACAGTCCTGGGCCCTGACAAGCCAGGCCCAGCAGGGACACCAGGGCAGACCTCCTGCTGCATCTTCCACCTGGAGCCCCAGGTGGCAGGAGAGCCAAGGCAACACCTGTCATTGTCCCACCCCTTCCAGCCACACCGTGCAGACGGTGACAGAGGGCCTGATAAGTCAGTTATTAAACACGCACCAGCCAGCTGGCCAGCCTTGCCAGAAATATCCCAGCCAGGTTATTTCAAATAACTTCAAATCTGACTGAAAAACCAGCCAGATGAAGTCGGCTCCAGACACTGGAGTGAGTCAGAAAACACCCAAGTGGTCCCGAGTGCTGGGCAGGGCGGGCAGGGAGGGCAGGAGGGCACGCGGCCTTAGGAGGGTGTCCTCAGAGTTAGTTCGTTGCCAGCTGCTCTGCAGCTGCTGCCCTCATGGCAGTGGGTGGGGCAGAAAGGAGCTCCCAGGAGCTGAGCCCCCTCTGGTGAACTGCCTCACACCCCCTGGGTCATCCGTGTGAGCCCTGTGTCCTAGCTGGGAGTGCTCTAGGTGGCCTTGCTGCCACTTAGAGGGAAGCAGGTTTGCCAGGGTCACCTCACCAGGTTGCTGGAGCTAGAACCTGATCCACCCGAAGTCCCCACTGTTTCCACCATGTTGGCCTCTAGAGCCCTCTCACTCGCCGGGTGACATTTGCTCACATGCAGGGTGACATTTGTTGAGTAACTCTGTGCCCTTTATCCAAGCCCTTTGGTTTAGTATTTGCAATAAGATGTTGTCACCATTTTATGTATCCTTCCTCTTGGAAGAAACAGAGAAAGGAACTGGCTTGAGGTCAGGCAGAGGTGCCTGGGCCAGGTTGAGCATTCTTTCTGCCAGGTTTCCAAATCCCAGGGTCCCCAGTGCTTCTGGGACATACTTGGTGGGGACTGTAGGACTGTGCTAAGTGAATCCCTGTCCCTGTGATCATTCAGTGTTCCAGACAGGGAGGGTCTGACCCTTCCCTGAGCACATGACACCCCATACTCAGGGGACAAGGCAGGCACCTGGGCACCTGGGGAAAGAGAATGATATGAGGTGACGGAGCTGGGGTGGATCTAGAGCGGTCCCTGATGATCTTTGGTAGGTGGGAGAAGGGACAGTCTGAGCCAGGCCTAGGTACCCAGTAGGCTGAGAGGCTGGCTAGGTCCTGAGGTCTGAAGTTTCCCCACAGGCAAAAAGCAGATAAGGCAGGCTGACACCTCCACCCTGGGGGCTAGATGCATCCTTACCCCAGAGCAGGTACCCAATGCTCCAGCTCTGGCTGACCTCAGTCTGGGGTAAAGCCCCCCTGGAGAAAGTCCTCCCCACCAGAACAGTCTGCTCCCCAGACTGCATCAGACCCGGAGTCCACCCTGGGTAAGGAGGCAGACGATGTCTGGGGTAATCCCAACCAAGTCCCTCACCAGGCCTGGGGTGCACACCTGTAACCCCAGTGACTCTGGAGGCTGGGGCAGGGGGATTGCGAGTTCAAAGCCAGCCTTAGTAACTTGGCGAAGCTGAGCAATTCAGGGAGACCCTGTCTCTAAACAAAATATTTAAAAAGGGCTGGGATGTGGCTCATGGTTTAAGTGCCCCTGGGTTCACACCGCAGTACCCCCCCCCAAAAAAAGTCCCTCGCTCTGGGTATTATAGCCCCTAGCTCCCATGCTAGCCCGAAGCTCACACTGGAACTTGGGGCCTGCAAGAAGATGTGAGCAGCTCACATTGTGAGGAGAAAACAGGCTGGGCAGGTAGGTAAAGGGGGCTGGTAAAGGGGTCTTGCCTGGCACCCCAGACGAGGACTCCAGGACTCTCTTGTGCTGTGCCCACAGAGCAGCCACTCTGACCCATGTGAACTTGGCAAATTTCTGTGGCTTTGGAAGCCCAGGGGGTTGGTCCATGTCACACAGGCATTTGTGGGTAGATCTGCCCAGTGGGCAGAGGCAATGGGTTGAATCTCCTCAGTTGGGCTTCCATGGGATAAGGATGAACAGACAGGGAGCCCCCAGGTGAAGGTTCGCCTCTGATGAGACTCCGCTCAGACAGAGCTCAATTCTGCAGGTCACTGAGACCCAGGGAAGTCACAGCTGGAAAGTGCAGAAGCCAGGATTCCAACAGAGCATGGCTCCAAAGCCAGGGCTTCCCCCACACGGTCCTGCCTCTGAGCTGGCCTCCGGGCCCAGGTTCCCTGAGCCAGAGCTTCCCAGCACACGACCACCAGAGGACCAGGGGGGCCGGGCAGCCTCAGAGCACCCAGAGGCACTCCACCCTGGTGCTGGCTCCCTTCCTCCTGCTGCAGCCTCACCCCCCTACACAGGCCACTTAACTTGGCACCAAGCAAATGCCTCAGGCTGGGCAGGTGGCGCTCCCCGGAATCCCAGCTACTTGGGTGGCTGAGGCAGGAGAATCTCAAGTTCAAGGCTAAGTTGGCAACTTATGGAGACCCTGTTGCAAAATAAAATATAAAAGACCTGGGGATGTGGTCCCCTGCCTGTGCCTCAAGTGTCACCCAGGCATTTTGGACTCATCCTTGTTTCCTAAGAGGGGAACTGACCTTGAGGACTCCTGAACCAGGCTCCCAGTAGCCAGCAGCCCCCCCATGGCCCTCCCTGCACCTCACCTGTGGCTGGAGGGGAGACCTGTGGGCCTGGGCTTCTCTGCAGGCCGAGAGCCCCTCCCTGTGGTGTCCCACTTCCTTCATGCCTCCAGGGAGCAGCTCTTCTGGGTTTTCATGGAGTCCTGTTCAGGGCTTGCCCTTCCTTCACAGCTGATTTGAATGTACTTTTCCATTTCTATTTATTTGCACAATTAAAGTTAAAAATTAAATATTAGCTGGGTGCGCGGCACACACCGGCAATCTCAGTGGCTCAGGAGGCTGAGACAGAGGATCATGAGTCGTTCAAAGACAGCTTCAGCAACGGCGAGGCGCTACGCAACTCAGTGAGACCCTGACTCTAAGTAAAATACAAAACAGGGCTGGGGGTGTGGCTCAGTGGTTGAGTGCCCCTGAGTTCAATACCCAGTACCCCCAAAAAAGCTCAGTCCAACAGCTGGAGTCCTTAAACCAGAAACAGCTTCACCTGTGCTCCGCCTGCCCCCCACCCACACCATTCTGCATGCAGCCAGCGGCTCACAAATGAGGCCTTCATCAGGGCTGAGGCACTGCTGTCCATTAATTGGTTAATTGGTGTTTGTTTCCCAGGTCCACACTCCAGGCTAATAAGTGGCGCTGTTCCTGCCAGCCACAGCAGGGCTGCTTAACAAGGCTCTTCCGGGGCCCTCCCCTTACCTGCCCTAGCCAGGGTCGCTACACAGGGTTGGGGGGGCTCTTCTGCCACTGCTCCCCTTAAAGATCATCCCCCAAGTCAAACAAACCTAAGTTAAAACCCCAGCCCCACCATCCTGGCTCTTTCAGAGTCTCAGTTTCTCTGTCTTCAAATTCTAAGTCAGATGAGACCCGAGTTCAGGGCTACACATAGGCCTCACACCTGGTAAGTATGCACACAGGTACCCCTGCCATGTCACTCAGGCCCCTGGGTCTCCACTTGTCCCACCAAGCTCATCATCTTCGCCCCAATTTTCCCCCTTAGCCACCCCCAGTAGCCCAAGCCAAAAGTCTGGGTGTCACCTAGGACCCCTCTCTCCTTGTCCTCCGGCTGTCTCCAGGCTCCGAGCATTGTACCTCCTAAGTGGTCCACTCACCTGTTCTCACTGCCCCCCACGGCCATATCCTTGGTGATCTCATCTCCCTGGATTCTCACCCAGCCTCCTGCCTGGTCTCCCTGCCATGTCTCTCTCTGCTCTGCCACCCCATGAAAATCAGCCTTGGCAGCCAGAAGCACTTCCCTAAATCTTATCAAGTCACTCTGGTTTACAAACTTTCAATGGCTCCCCATTGCCTTCAGGACAAAGTATGGCCTCCATTTCAGATTAGATTCAGAGTCCTCCATGACTCCTCCCCACCTCTCCCACCTCCCCCCTGTGGGGCTCCCCTACCTTGTCCTTGGCCCGATGCCAGGCAGCCCAGCTCCTGTTTTGTCTCCTCCTTCCCATCTGCCCTGATGAATTTCCACTTCAAGGCTGGATTTGGGCACCTCCAGGGTAAGGCCTCTCCAAGGCTCCATAACCCCCGGACACACCCGGGGGGTGTCCAGATATGAGCGCTTTGGGCTCCTCCCTGAGAAGTTTGCACACACAGGAAAGCAAGAGGGCTGCAGAGTCCAAACCTCCCTCCATTACGCAGGGCTCCTGCTGGAAGCAGTGACGCACACTGTAATCCCAGCAGCTCGGGAGGCTGGGGCAGGAGGATCTTGAGTTCAAAGCCAGCCTCAACAACTTAGTGAGGTTCTAAGCAATTCAGTGAGACCCTATCTCTAAATAAAATCTTAGAAAGGGCTAGAGATGTGGCTCCGTGGTTAAGAGCCCTTGGGTTCAATCCCCAGGACCAAAAGAAGAAGGGCCCTTAGCTGGGCACACAGTCCTGGCTGCCCTATGGCCCCTCCCTGCCTGTCCCCAAATGCAGTGGAGAAGTCTGTGGCTGCAGAAACCGCACCTGAAGTCCCGGAGACGCGGGAGGCTGAGGCTGGCTTGGCAATTAGGTGAGATTCTGTCTCAAGAAAAAAAAGAAAGAAAAGAAAAAAGAACTTGGGATGAAGCTCAGTGGCAAAGTGTCCCTGGGTTCAATCCCCAGAGCTGAAACACAAAATGAAAGAAAAGGAAGGAAGGAAGGAAGGAAGGGAGGGAGGGAGGAAGGAAGGAAGGAAGGAAGGAAGGAAGGAAGGAAGGGAGGGAGAGAGGGAGGAAGGGAGGGAGGGAAGAGAAAATGGCTGCTCCTTCTGGATCCCCGAGATGCTCCAGGCTCAGCCATGGACTTGGCAGGTCCTAGACCAGGTCCTTCTCCTGGGCCCTCAGGGCAGAGGCCAGGGCTCACTGAACCCCTTCCCCAGCGCCACTGCTTCCCTTGCTCTCTCGTGGCCAAGCTGTTTGAACCGTCTGCTCTTGCAGGTATTTCATCACCCCCTGAAGCAAACCCAGGAGCTGCCTGAGCCAACTCCAAGCCCAGAGGCAGGCCATCCACTTTCCTGCCACATCCGTGGCAAAAATAATTTCCCAGCCTGGCCCAGGACGAGCTGGTTTCCCACCTAGGGCTCAGAACGGACCTTGGTGTCCTTCCTCCCAGCCTGTCCCCAGCAACCCTGCAGCTTCTGAGCTGCATCTCTTGGGGGCACCTCCCCTCCCGGAAGCCTGCTTTCCCCACATGCCCTCTCTGCCTCCCCTGCTGACCCCCTGCTTCTACTGCACGAGCCCACTTATTGCTCCTGAGCCCCCTGCCTTGTGCGGGTTGCTGCCCACCTGGTGCGCCTTTCCCACCTCCTTCCTGAAAAATGCATGTTAAATGTCACCTATGGGATTCCTGCTGGCACAGCCCAGGAAGGCAGGCTCCCCACTCTGAGCCCTTTCAGAACAGGGTGTGTCCATGTTACCGGGCTGTCCTTTCTTCGGCATTTGGACGTCCAGTAGGACTGAGCACTCCTGGAAGGCAGGGACCAGGGTGAGCGCAGGCTGTCTCTGTCTTCTCCCAAGCCTCAAATGTTTTGAGGATCAAGAAGAGAAAGAAGGTCAGGGTCAAGTCTTCCTTCCCGGGCACCCCTGTCCTCCTGTACCAAGTATCTACTGTGTGTCTGCCATGTGTCAGGCTGCACAGTCCTCTGCTACTTGGGGACCTGGACCTCCATGTGGCTTCACTGGGCCAGAGAGACCTCAATCCCCAGAACCAGGGGATCTCAGACTGCCAGCCAGGGCCCTGGGCCATACAACTGCTCTCACCAGCTGAGCACAGTCCCAGAACCCAGGGCCACTGCAGAGGGTTGCTCTGACCAGCTCCTTTCCGGGAATTCTTGCAGGTCCCAACTCCAGTCTGGCTGCTCTCTGGCCAGGTGATCTGGTCTCCTGTCCATCCCAGGCACCTACCTGTTCACGCCAACACAGAGCTGTGCAGCTGCCACCCAACCTAGGACACTTGGTTCCCACGTCAACTTTGAGGGCACCCACAACCTGTGGTGCAGTGAACCTCGTCTGCTACTCTTCCCTGTTTTGCCGAGGCTGCCCGGGCTGCCCTGCAGTGATCCCTCAGGCCTAGTTGGATCCCAGCCCTGCAATTCATTTTCTGTTTAATATCCTGGTCATATTACCCCTCTCCTTATGCCCCAGCTCGCTCTTTCTTTCTTTCTTTCTTTCTTTCTTTCTTTCTCTCTCTCTCTCTCTCTCTCTTTCTTTCTTTCTCTCTTTCTTTCTCTTTCTTTCTTTCTTTCTCTTTTTCTTTCTCTTTCTTTCTTTCTTTCTTGTAATTGTAGATGGACAGAATGCCTTTATTTATTTATTTATTTTAAATATTTTTGCAGTGCTGAGGATCAAACCCAGTGCCTTGCGTATGCTAGGCAAGCGCTCTGCCACTGAGCTACAGCCCTAGCCCCACCAGCTCTCTTTTTGAAAATGGAGACGCTCTCCATTTCCTGCCAGGGTTGGTGAGGCACAGGAGAGGGCAGGATGATGGCTCAGTCACACTGGGTGCTTTGTGGAGGCAGCATTCCACCCCTTGCCTCCAGGAAACACCCCGACTGCTGTGTCCAGAGTCAGCTGCGGGAACCTAGGCAGAGACGTGGGGGAAGAGTGCCGGGCTGGTGCGGGAGCCTGGGCCAGGCCCTGGAAGCATGGCTCCTCCACCTGGCCTCAGACTCCCGCTGCCGCTGTGACCCCTGGGTCTGTGGCAGGTGGCAGCAGTGATGGAGACGTGGCAGCTGTGTTTTGTCAGGGAAGGTCCTTCCTGGGTGTCCCAGCAGCCAGGAGGTATAAATAGTGGGGAGAAGGAAGCCGCAGGGCCTCAGGCCTCAGTCCCAAAGCTAATAAACATTATTGATGTGTGGGGAGGGAGGAAGGAGGGGCAGCTTTAGAACCATCGAGACTGATTTATTGGTTAATTAGTGGTTTCTACAGCCACAGACTTCCCCACTGCATGTGGGGACAGGGAGGGAGGGGCCACAGGGTAGCCATGACTGCAGGGAGGCCAGCTGGGACTGCAAGTAAAACTCAGTGTCTTCCTAAGCCAGGAGCACTGAGGAGCTAAAGGAATACTGCAGGATGTTTGGCCCAGGGAATGGACCCAGGACTGACTGGAAAAGGGAGGCCTGACTGACTGGCCCTGCTGCCTGAGTAGCCAAGCAGATCTCTCTCTCTCTCTCTCTCTCTCTCTCTGTAGGCTATTGAACCCAGGGCTTCACATATGTTGGGTAAAC